TCTTAGACTGAAAGAGCAAAGTATATTAACCACAAACTTAAGCACTACCTGAGTAAAATATTCACATGATAAGAGTTTACCTGACTTCTGCTAACTATTTCCTGGTACAAGAGTCAGACCATGTAATCTGAACTTGGATCAGTGGCCAATCCTATTTTGCATTAATATCCTAAAGGCACACAGAGACAAAGCCTTGCTCTGCTGGGAATAAAAAGAAGTTGAACCTCTTTCCCTCTCACAAAATATTGTTCATATTGGCCTAGTTTACTCACAAAAAAAGATTGCAGTGAGCTATTTCCCTGGAAAGAAATGCATTTCTGAAAGTTTTCACTGGAATGCCAAGAACTCCTAGTTGAACCACAGGCTGAGAGTTCTCAGCCTGTGCTGCCATTATATTTCTGCCTAAATTATGAAAAACTGAGAATCCTTTAAAAAGCCACAGGCTCTTTATGGCCCTGGGAGGAAAAAACCCAACACAGAGCCTTAACCATTGTCAGTTCTACCCCCCCCACAGCATGTCTGAGACCAGCATCTGAAAAAGCTCCCAAAAAAACACTGCACATTGCTCCTGCAGTGCTACCTGTTTGCCTAGCATCCCTGTGGAAGGAATATATTGAAGCCTAGAGTAGACATTCTCACTTCTGAGTCTAAAACCAGCTTCCTTGTTAACTTTTTCTTTGTTCAAAAGTCTCATTGTCAGACTTACCCAGACAGGATTTTTTTTTTTCCTTTGCCATTGTTAATGGATAACTCTGTCATGGTTGTTAAAAAGGCATACGTGATATGAGTCAGCAGGTGAAGGTAACACACACATGGAGGAGCTGGAAGTTCTTCCTTGTTCCTTTCTGGCCATCTTCTGAAAAGCCTGGTTTTGGTTAGCCAAATATTGGGTGGTGCTTCAGAGAAACTGTCCCAGGAAGATAGGGGTTCATTGCTCCACTTGCTGCTAGGGAAGAAGGCTCAGAGCTGCCAGGCAATTCAGGCAGCAAGACAAACTGAGAAGGAGAAAGGAGCTGAAATTGAGCGTCATTGAGCCCATGGTGCCTCACTGTCCATTTCAATTATAAATACTGCTTTAAAATGTAATTTGTTGTTATATCTCTTAAATACAGTGACTTTTATGGACCCAGTCCTGGAGCCAGCACTGTGATAGTGTCCAAAGGATGATTTTTAATTAAGTGGAGGCTGTGCACACATGTAGGGGGAATATTTAACAGATGTGCTGTAATGATGTCAGAATTATAAACTTAAATGTGCTTTAGATCTGCATACGAATAAAGAGATACCTGTACAGGCTTCTAGACAACTCATTTAAAAGAAATTTAAAGCCATCAATTTATGTCAGCGCAGAGTTTTGCTATCCAATTACATAAAGTATTAGATATCACAATTAAAACATTTTTGTCATTTATCTAATACAGATTTTTTTCTAAGTTTAACTCTAACTCTTTTCACCTTATGGTAATTCTCCTTGGAGTAATTACTCAATTTCCACAGCAATAATTTGGATAGCACGAGAGCATGTAACCTCATGCTCCCCCTATCATTATGGAAGATTTTGCCTAGAAACATACTTTTTTCTCTTCCCATTATTTGAGATATGACACATAATCAATAACCTGAAACTGCATAAAACTTTCTCATATGATAATTCTATTGATTTTTAAAAGAAATAATTAAACTAACTGTTAAGACCAAGTTCATCAATACAATCTGACTCTTTTGTTCCTCCCTACTGAGTAGGACAAATCAATCAGGGTTATGAAACAGCATAACCAGTTTTCTGGAACTATTGCACCATTCTGACAATGTACTGAATAGCCAGTTTATGCCCCGTTGTTCTCTCTTTGCTCTCCCATCCCCCTGGCACACATCCCTGCAGCTCTAAATCACAACCTTCTCCTGATTCTTCTCTTAATGCATTGCACAGGCCCAAAACTCTCCATCTCCATTCTCTTTACTGGGCTACCTCAGTTTGCTACTTCCTCCACCACCTTCCATCTCAAAATAATGAATGCAATTTTAGGAAAGACATACTGTATTTTTCCACATAGAGGTAGAATGCCAAATTGTGTTAAATGTCAAATTTCTTTCCACTTCAATGACAGAAGCAAATCTGCAAATTGGCGCTTCTGCTCAGACTGTATTTAACAACAGGACTTTATTAGTTCTCTGCAAAGCAAAGCAGTCCCCTGGCAGAAGGTGAAGTGGAAAAGCCAAAAGCCTCTCAGGGTTCCTCTGGAAGCAAAGCAGCTTCTCCATAGGGATGGCTGGCTCTCATTTTCTCTTATACTCTGATGTCTTTAAGACCTGTGCCACATGAAATCAAATCTCTCCCCATATGAACTTGTGCATACCTCAATTTCTCTTTCACCCTCTGTGATCCCACTAACGCCCTCATCAAGCAGCTGTCGACTTGGTGCACCACTGAGAGCTGCTCCTGCACCCAAGTGGCTGCAGTGAGGAATCTCTTCTGTGGCAGGAGCAGACAGTCTGGCAGGATGGGATCAGTGCCAGGGGAGGAGCACCACAGGTATGTGCCGTGCCAGCAGCCAGAGAACCCAGCTCTTTGGGGTTTCTTGATGAAGGCTGTATAAAGTGTTCAAGGATTTGGGTGTTTGCAATGGACACTGCAGCATGTGTGTAGGTCACAGATTATTCATCTCTGCAACAAGTGAGAAAAAGCCTTCAAAAACTGAGGTTCATAGGATGCAGATTTAATACCTTCTGTGAAACGCACCCTTTACATGGAACAAGAGATTCAAACCAGCAGTTTATGCTGAAAAAATGGCTGAACACAGTGGAAGAATTACAGAATGTGCATGGCCTAAATCAGACACAGCAGCAATGGCAGATCCATTACTTTCCACTCAGCAGTCACAGACACTTCTTTACTAACAGTAACATTCATGTGCAGCATTCCTAAGATCTGTTGGTGTTTACAAGTTGCAGGATTTTCCTGAGAGAAGTAGGAATTAGCATGTGCTTACATTTGACAATGTTATTTCAAGTCCAAGACAGGTCACACACATTTAATAAATCTCCCTGAAAAATAATGCTGTTTTTGGAGGTGCAGGTATCTATTCAACAGCATGCAACTTGATGGCCTGAGAAATTATTTTCTACAAATTGTTTTATTTTAAAAATAATTTGTATAGGCATTTTAAAGGCCTATTTACATTAAGTACCATTATTAACTCTGTTAGATGTGTGGGTGGATGTGCAGATCAGCTCACACATGTATCTCTCAGATTAATGTTATTTTAAGCTGCTTACATGGTTCCAAAATCCCCAAGATTTGGCCCAGTTGATTTGGTTCTAACAGGTGTAATTGGTACAAATGTATCAGAGATCAGAACATCATCAAAAATACTCATCAGGTCTGTGTTCATCCTTAGGAAGCCTCCCTTCTAACATTTTAGGTTGTAGCTATCACTGAAACACAGGAGTATTTTAACAAGCACTGCCATCAGAGATTAGCAGATTCCCTTAAATAGGTGAAACTTGATACACTAAACCTTGAAAAAGCATTTTTTTGGTCAAGTTTAGAAAACAAAAATATGGCATGCCTTGGCTGCCTTTCAGGTGTCAAAATTCAAACCCCAGTGCATGCACCCAGCTCAAATGCAATGAGAGATGCAAGACACTGCCCACTTGGCCTTCACTAAGTGAAATACAGAAATAAACAAAAAGGGGGGGGGGGGGAAGAGAAAAAAGTGCAGATTTTGCTAGAGATTACACAGCAACAGAGGCAGAGGTCAAACTCCAGAACCCTGACCACCTTCCTCACATGCTTCTGGGGGAACGAGGCCAAACTGGGGACAAGGCAGTGATGTTGATAAGAAAGTAAAATGGATTAGGAAGCAGTGACATAGTGGAAATAGACAATCCAGGTAGAGAAGAGAAAGAAAATTTAGAGTAACAGATGAAGAGCACTGAAAGATACCATAAGAAAGGAAGTAAGGTGATGCAACAGCAAGTGTAAATAACAGGAGATGCTGTGATGAGAGGCATTTTTCACACGTGTTAAAAAGCTGATTGTCTAAGTACTTTCAGTAAATACAGAGATGCTTGCCTCTAGTGGGTGTATTTACTATGGCCTGGATGGTAGGCTCATGGTCAGGGTAGAAAACTCTTCTCTTTACTCCTCATCCAGCCCCAGTAACATTTGCAGCTGCTTCAAAAATATTATCAGACCACTTTGGGAAAAAACCAAAAATCAGCTCTCATCACGGCCTCAGAGTTCAGAAAAGAAGAATTATTTTAATTCCAATTAATTCCATATAAAAGCCATGTTAAGACTTGACACTCGCCATAGGGCAGACTCTTCAAAACTCCACTGCTGAAGTCACTGGCACTTGCAGCACACAGAAAGGTGCTGTGACTGTCCCAGAACTGGACACCTCACATCTGGGAGACAACCAATAGCTCACCAGTGAAGTCCAGCATAATCAACATGGCCCTGCTTCCTATGGTAGAGAGAGACTCATAGCAGGAAAAAGGAATGGACCTTTGGGACAAAAGGAAGGGAATGTGGAAGACAGCAAGAAAAAAGCTGAAAGACAAGGTGTTTTTCCCTGCTGCAGGCCTATTTTGCATGTGCCTGAACAAGGACTAAACACATCCTTATCTTTAAAATACTAAAAGAATTCTCCACTGGCTTCAGATACAACCACCTCTCCACCAAACCCACCTCTCTGATTACCACACTCTCTCCTTACATGGTTCTACAAAATTCAAGCTGACACTTTTTCATCCAAAACCAGCATTTATAAAAGCCTCCTTTTAAAAATCTGACTGCTGTGAAACTGCTGCTAAGGGGGAAAAAAGGGGTCATTGGTCTCAGCTGTTGTACCCATGCATCTGGTGGCACTGACAAAATTCAACCCCCCCAAGGGCCCCAGAACACATGGATCCACACAGCAGCAGAGGGATGAATCCACTTTCACATCATACAACAGTCTCACATCAGCACAAATCAGAACAAAACTGCACACAGAGAAGGTTACTTTGTTTTTTCATCCCTCAGTACACAAGCCTTTTGCATTCCACTGCCCAGTCCCAATCTTGAAAACAGCCATCAACTGTCCATGCCTTCCATCACGTGGCAACTACAGCCAGCTAAGGGATCTGCATCCCTGTGGGGCTGTGTCCCCCAAGGAGAATGAAAGGGGCAGAGAAGGGACATCATGAGCTGCGGCCACAGATCTGCTCAAGGTGGTAGATGTCCTTGGGACAGTCAGCAGACAGGACAAGAGGTGCATCCTCTGTTATCACCACATCATCCTCAATGCGCACACCAATGCCACGAAACCTCTCTGGAGCACTCACATCATCCTCAGGGATATAAATGCCTGAAAGAAGAAAGGGAATTAAAACACACAACACTCTCCAGAACACCACCTTTCCCTTTCTGCACCACCAGGAGAGTGAGTTTAGACTTTCACCAACATAACGTGTTTGATCCTGAGAATTTTTAATATGGCAAGTTACTTTCTTTCCTCTCATCAACTCACTGTTGGTGGGCAAAGAAAGGAAAGTGTCCCTCTGTGCCTAAAGATATCAGCACATTAATAAAAACTTCCATAGCTACACCTGGTCTTTTCACACTTCTTGCTCTCAGTGTTACATTCATAGTGATGATTTTAACAATGTTCTGAATAGAGAGAGAGAAGAGACAAGCATTAAATATAAGATTCCAGCTGACAGCTCCAAATCTAGTGACAAGGAGAAAGAAAGATTCCTCACAGCATGCCTAATTTGTAAAGCTAAGTTGTGAATCCCTGTAAATTGCAGACTGCAATGCCTGAGACACTACCAGTGACCGGTAGAAGTTCAGTGGCATGAACATAGAACACAGCACAAGTGAATTGACCCTGATTTCTGCACTGCAGTTCACCTGTGCTGCACAGCCTGTGCTCTACACTACTCTGCTTCCTGAGTTTACTCCCACTATGTGCTACCTTGGCTATGTTTGGGAAGGAAATAGGGTTTTCTAATACTGTAATGACTTTGGGAGGGGAATGACTTAAGGCTTTCCAATAATGCTATAGTTTCCAGCTTCACCAGAAAGGATGTGAATGCTTTGGTCTGCAGGACCAGCTATTTATTGAAAGGCAATACTGTTACTCTCAGTGTTGCATGTTTTTGTCCACCACTGACTGCTTTTTACCTGGTTCAATGGTTATCACCATGCCTGGCTGGAACGGGATTGATCGGGATATATCTGGGGTGTCGTGAACATCCATGCCCAAGTAATGGCCCACATGATGAGGGCAGTATTTTCGAACAGCCTAAGAGAAGACAGAACAAGTGTCACAGAGGCAGTTAAACACAGCCCAACTTGTTCCAATACAAAAGGGAAAAGAGACAGAATAGTTATGTACTTAACTAGCAGTCTTACTGCCACGCCTAGGCCACCAGGGCCTGCCTTCCATGTACTAGAACTGGATGGCCCTTAAAACCCACCAGGTACCTATTATGAGCACATTGCAGATTGCCTTTCCCCTGCACTGACAAGAGCAGCCCAAACCCATCACCATCTCAGCATGGTGTCAACTTTCAAATCGCTGGGCTTTGCTGCCTAAGCCCTCCCATCCCTTAAACATCCAAGCCCTGCACAACTCCCATCAGCAGATCTTCACAACTGGCTGCAGCAAGTGCAGCTGCTCCGGGCTGTGAAAGTGGTCTCCTATGCACAACAGAGCAAATGCTGTGCCGATTTCATTCAGTAGATACAGCATGATTTTAATCCACCTCTACAAGGCACGGACACCGCCTCTCCCCTCCCACCATCCTGATATCCCTCCCTCTAAAGCAGGAATCAGCGAGAACGCCTCCCTGCTCCACGCTCCTCATTCCCAGGGACCACAGCACTGGCTGTGCTTCCACCTGCCGGGAGAATCCGGCACGACACCCCCGTCCGCCGGGGCTGCCATGGCACCGGCACGGCGCACAACTAAATCCGGCAGGAACCTGTCCGGCTGCCAAAAGCCGTAGTGCCGTCACCTGGTTCCGCCATCTTTGCAGTACTGGCATCAGCACTCGTGCAGCTCTGCAGTGAGAGTGAGCGGGTAAACTTCTCTAACTGAAAACCGATCCTGTTTATCTGCAGGTTCAGCTCTAAGGCAGACCAGTTTCCCAGTCTTGTTCACCAGGTAGCTCTGTGAGTCCCAGTACTGACACAAAATGGTGCAGAAGGGGCAGCAGGTGGAATGACTGAGAATAGGCTGCACCTTTTGGTGGCACTGCAGATTTATGTGATGTTAAACAGACCACAAAAGTATGAATAACTGCCTGCAGTCAAGCCTGGACCCAGAATCTTGTGTCAGTGCCCATAGCTCCCTTCAGACTGTGCTCTAAAGCTGCTTCTGTGCTGGCAAGTAATGCACAGCAATGGGAATGGATCTGCAGAGTGAAACAGCAAGAGCCAAGGAACAAATATTCACACTATGTGCATATAAGACTGGGGGTTACTTCAGACCAAATTGTGCACCAAATGGTTGAATCACATCTTGGAGTTTAGCCCTGTCTCAGAGAAATTCATTCTTGTGCTGAGACCAGCCCACAACATGAATTAAAGCACCATGTAGCAGCAAATAGAAGAGACATCCTGAAACCACATTCCTGACCCAAATTAGAGCCCTAAAACTACCCAAGGATAAAACAATCAGGATTAATAGGAGTAAACTAGAGTAAATGGGTAAACTAGAGTTAAAAAATTGAAGTACCTTGAAGAAATGGCTGTCAGTGATGCTGCTGTCCAGGACACCCAAGTCTTTCAGTTTCTGTCCAATAAGGCTCAGCATGAGGCTGTAGATATTTTCCAGACTCATGCCAGGGGAGCAGAGGCTCAAGCAGGACTTCTGGATATCCAGGACAGCTTGATACAGTTCTGCTTGGGGTTTGGTGAACCTGAAGGCCATTGAGTAAAGGAATATCACACAACTAAATCTCTGTTTCCAAGAGAAAAGAGGTTTTGTCCCCAGAACCTATTCTGGGTACAGATTCAGTTCAAGGATGGAGCAGGGGAAAACCAGCAAGCAGAGCAACTGTCTCCTTGTATGAAAGGCTACATCAGCAAATTCACAACTGGCAGAGCTATGTACACATCAACTGAAACTCCTGTTCTCTTAAACACAACTGGAGTCAGCCACAGCTGAACGTACAAAAGCCCTCTCTGCACATTAAGCATGCTGTAATAGCTGAAAATAGCAATAATCACATATATTCATGCAGTAATTAACGAGGCAGTGGGGAATACAGCTGAATGATTACTTTATATAATTTGATTACTCTGAAGCAGCACAGAATGGGACATGGTAAAACTATGATTAAACACACATTCAATCCATCAATCATTTAAGAACTTATCAAAATTCTTCAAAAAAACTTACTGCAGCATACCTTCCATTGACAGGCCAGGTACGTGTGATGTCACTCACATAGCAGGAAAATTCACATCCACCATCTAGCAAGACCAGTTCACCATCCTGGAGAATAACAGGAAAGAATGCTCTGTGGGTCAGTCCAGCTATTAATTGATTTTTCTGTCTGACAGCAGGAAAGGAGGTTATGCTTCTGTTTTTACAATGTAGCTGCAGAAAAGTGAATTCCTTTTGCAGAGTAATACCCCAGGTACTACTGTTTATAAACAGGCTATTCCAGTTGAATTGTTGCTCTGTAAGGTAGTCTGTGACTGTTATGCTTATTTACTGTCTGAACTTTTAAGATGAAGATTTTGGAGTTAAAAAAAAGGCATTTGCCTTGAACTATTCTGCTCTCTGAGACAAGTGCTATTCACACCTGGATCACTACTCCAGCAAATTCTCCCATGACTCCTTCCACTAGAAGTTATCAGCTATAGTGACTGAGACACAGGGGACTTGCAACCAAAGCATAGGATTTCTGAGCTCCCCACAGGATCACCAACAGCTACAAATTTACCCTTGTCATAGGATATGAAGACCCAGCAAAATCACTTTGTATCACAAAATCTAAGAGTGTATCACTGCTGTAAATGCATTGGTGAATAGTTTGTACAACCTTCCCTTTCTCTTCTAGGACTTCCTTGACTGTTTTAACATCTTTCTGGATTGATCTGGTGATGAAGAAAAATTTTTGGAGATGTGAATATCCAATTCAATTCAGCAAAGCTGTTCCATATCAATGACTGCATATCTCCCAAAAAGTCACACAGAAGAAAGACAAAGGGCCAGGAACAAAACCACTGCCTTAAAGGGGCTAACAACAAATATAGCAGTAAGATGTTTAAAAAGTTTGGAGTAAATTCTCTATAGATTTACACAGGCAGAGATTCATTCCACAGATCCATGACTGTGCCAGCAGACATGACGCGGAACGACCAGGCATAACTGCAGCATGTTACGGAAAAGATTAAAGCAGCAAAATTTCACTGTTAGTGTTACTTCCAGTGCTAGCTGCTATCATTGTGTACAGTTAAGTGACACAGACACAGCAGATAAACCAGCAGGGAGCAGACCTCACTATCCCACTGAATAGGTGGGCCATTAACTATCCTTTTATATTGTACTTTAAAAATTTTTCAGAATAGCTGGTTGAATTCTTTAAGGCAAATCTGAAATTACAGCACCTGCCATCTTCCAAGCAATTAAACAAGCTAAGTAACAATTTACTGACTAAGGGAATTCAGCCTGTGGTTCAATTGTCCAGTAAATGCCTTATACTGTGCTTGTCCTCTTTCTTTAAAGCAGAGCCCTCTAAGTAAAAGCCTAAATGAAACATTCAGATACCTCCCAAATTAGACACTTTGTTAGCCTATTTGGAAACATGATCTGTAAGAAGCAGCACACAAAGGAAGTGTCAAGTTTATGGGTTTAATATTCTACCTAATAGTTTTGGAAAAAAACAAGAGACAGTCATTTAACTGAACAACTTTAACAGAAGCAACTGGAGTTAGAGCAGCAGCCTGACCTTGGATGACAGAACAACAAAGGAAGCTTCTTCCTGCCAAAAGCAGCCTATCGTATCTTTTGTACATTTGTCTCTGCGGATCATTTCAAGGTCTGCTAGCATCCCAGCTTCAAGAAAAGACAATGCTAGTGGGAAAGTTTCTTTCTGCATTAAGACAGAGGAAAAATATGCTCCTCTGAAAAGTAAATAGTGAGCAGGGCTGTGAGGGAATACTGCCCCTGAAAATGCTTCTCTGAATTGAAAGAACTATTGTGAGGAAAGCTGGAGAGAGTTCAATTCAACAAGAATCTTCTAAATAAGACAAAATATGTTCCTCTTCCACCTCTTGACATTTAACGCTGATCTGTTCTCTACTTGTTCCCCTTCCCTGCTTTGCTGAGCTACATGGAACCAAAACGCTTTTCAGCTTCAGCAGAGCAGGAATACACTTTGTCCTTATATTGCAAAGGAAGGCCAAGGAATGCAAGTGACAGCAGAAGACCCCCTGGGCCTTTGTCCTACCTGTGACAGTGGCTCCCCTATTTTGTGAGGCCCCCAGCACTGCAAGCTGCTGTGAGAGCAGACGTGCACTAAATTATCAGCAACCCTGTCTGCAAGTCCTTGCACTGTTCAGAAAATGCTGCAGCAAGAACTGACAGGGAAGAAAGATAAGCTGAATCTGTCATTGACCAAGGTAAAATGAAGCAAGGCAGGATTCCTTTCTCTCGCTCACTTAAAAAATATGTATTTAAGAGCTTTGATCTGTTCAGTCAAAACAAGCAGCAGCTAGGAAACATAGATTTGTATCACAGCACTGCATTTCAAGTTACTGGACAGCACAAGGGTTACCTTAATGAGCTGATTATTCTTCACATAGTGCAAAGTGTTTGATCTGTTGCCACCAGCAACAACAGGGGGGTATGCCAAGATGTCAGCACCACGAGCCCGGCACTCGAATTCAAACTGGAGGAACAATACAGAGAAGAGGAAACCATTAGTGTTGATTCAGGTGACTAACTGCCCTATAACCACAATAATTCTTGTCCTACAACTGCTTTCTTAATTTGAACAACACAAAGTGAAACTAGAAAGTGAGTTGACTAAATGAAAGCAGTCTTAAATATTTTTCAAGGGCTCTAGAGAAAAAAAAATACAGAACCATCCACTTTTTCAAGAATTTTTCAAGCCTTTACTGGATCTCCAGGAAGCTTTTTCTGGTACAAGCCATTCAATACTGCCTCAAACACTCACTACATTGGCATATACCCAGGTGAGGATTTGTTCTTATATAAAATAATGCTCTTATTTGGCATACAACTTCGTGAATTTTGAAAGATCCTATATGTCAGCATGACAACGTTCATGGTTTGCTTCTGTCTTTTAAAATTGCAAAGTACCAGTATATTTCCAGCAGTATCTATTTTTCATGACTGTTAAACTAAGAAGGTTTGAAAGCGTGCACTACGTTGATGTCTGAGGGACAGAAGAAAAAAGCAGCATAAGCCTCAAGATCTTTACCTTTCTTGAATGATGAAGCTGATGAAAGCATAGAAATTAATAAATTTACATCTATAAAGACCCTCAACATGTTAATAGCATATCTCTTCTATGGTTACCAAAATCACATGGACAGAACACTCCAGGATGCCTACATGGAGCAAAGGTTTTACGATCCTGGTCTGGACTGAAAAACTGACCTGTAAAATACACTTTAATTAAAGTAGTTTTTTCAACTCAGTACTGCCAGTGCCATGTCAGCACAGGCCCATCCATGTAGCAACAGAGGGTGAAATCCTGCTGATGTTTCTTGAACAGGCATTTCATCACTGCAATTCCTTACAAAGTTCCTTACCAAATGTACAGACCAATTAGTCCCTATTTTGTAACTGAGAGGCACCTAAACTGCTTCAAGATGGCTGTGGTAATCTGATGTAGTAAGGGGCTAGAGGCAAGAGAAGCAGGCTTTACAAACAGGTGTTATAACTACTTAAATTTTGTACAACGGACTTGTATTATAAAATAAGGTGAAAACTTTACTTCCAATTGTTTAGCAGGTTTTGCATTTCAATTTGGTACAAAAAGACATCAATAGAAGGAAACTTAGACAAATGCTACACTCCTTAAATAAGGGTACAGGAAGTACAGCTGGAGAATTCCTCACATGGACACTTCTGTATGTCCAAGGAACCACAAGGGTTGGGTGAATGAATGTGCTACAGTGGGAGAAACGTGATAAAGAGACCTGACATTTCTGGTTTCCTGGAAGGATAACCAACATGCAGCCCTTCCATCTCACTTCCAGCTACAAAGTACTCACCTTTGCATACAGAAAGGCTTCATCCACAGGGGTTTTACTGGCAAACATAGTTTCTGTGAAAGCCTATGAAAAATAAGGGACTTTCAGTTAGCAAAGGAGCATGAACTGGTTTTTTTTCACTTGTTGTCTCTTGAGGAGGGCCCAAAATCAGCTGGCCCAGAACCAGGGGGTTTCACCATTTTCTTTGGTGAAAATGCTGTCAAGACTAGAACCAGTTAAAATGTATTCCTCCCTGTGAAACTGTATGTAGGGGATGACTGACTCTAGTTTTTGTAAAAAAAGAAAATAAATTAGATGATTGAGGCTGATCCCATGGTTTGGCATTTTAGAAGTTGTCTCACCTGTGGATTCCCTCAGGTATAATAGGATTGCCTTATGCAGCTTTTCCTTCAGAGAAGGACAACCTGTACTTCCCTTTTCTACTTGGCTATTTATTTCAATAACATTTATGAAACATTAACTGCATTTGAGGTATCTGTCAGATTTGTTTAAAAGTGGCCAATGAGTTCAAAAGGTATTTGAGGGTGAAGGGGGAATGCAGACACATTAATAGGAAACATCTTCATAAAAATCCTGGTTTCCTCAAAATAAAAATAATAGATGGGAAAGAAAATTATTTTGGAAAGCAGAGAGGAAGCTGGGAAGGCAGTGAAAAGATTAGCCTTTGCTTTTAAACAAAGTCTAACAGCTGCTGGCTTTTTTTCACTAGAGTTGTGCTAACTGAGAGAATCTGGTAGACCAAGCAGTCTTCCAGTTTCCCCTTGTCCTGAGGAGGAAGCCAAGCCCAGCCAGTGGCTGAGACACAGCAGTTCAGTAACAGATTAGACCAAAGCTCTCCTTCCAGCTCATGTCACCTCACCAAGGGAATGCACTGGTTCAGTAGGGGAACACACAGCCCCATTACCTCTGCTGTCACCCGGCCAGCTATCTTCATCCTCTCAATCTCTGCCGGGGATTTGATCAGCCGAAGGTTCTGCACGAGATGTCGAACGGCCTGGATGCGGTTCTTGCTCCGAGCTTTTACCTCAGCCAGGGGCTGCATGTAGTCAGAGTGCAGCTCTGCATGCACTGGTTTTTTCAAGTCATACCAAACCACGTTGGACTCACCTGGAATGCAAAACAAAAGTTGACACTCAAATAAATGCAGACATGTTCTCCACAAAAGGAACTAACTCACTCCTCCTAAACGACATCTGTTGCTGTATTTGAGAAAAATAATTTTCTCTGAATCTACATTGACAGACTATATAGACACTTTCAGTGTCACAGAATACCAGCAATCTCTTCTAAATTTGGAAGATTACCAATTCATAGCGTATAGACTGGACAACTCCCCACTTCTGGGCAAATAATGGGTCTTACAACCATCACTGAATATATGTATCTGGCTCAAATCCATTCAGAGTTCACCTGTCAAAGTTGCACTTGTGTAAGCCAAGCAGCCATCACATCACGGTGCACCTTCTGAATCCTTCTCCCTGTCCTGAATCCGTCTACCTGTCCACAATGACCATGGAAAGCAATTCACCTTTTTGCATGGAATCAAGATCATTACCAGCAACACCTCAAGACACTTGGGGAAACAACTGCTTATTTCAGCCATTCAAAGAAAATGAGCTTACTGAGAACAGACACACTCACAGTGGAAATTTATTCAGAACATCAGTTAAAATCAACATTCTCCTCATGGAACATTTCAAATGCAAATGAGTATAAAAGCCATGGTGAGTCACTGCTGATGTCCACCATGACCCTCCTTCTTTGGTGAAAATAACCATGAGCAGTTGCTTACACAAAGTATCTAAGAAACTGGGCATTCATTAAAGAGTATTGCCCTTAGCTGATTTACTGCTTTTTATGGACCTCTCCTGTTGAAAGCGAAGGGAGACGACCCATCCTTGTTGATCAGCATCGAACTCCGCTTTATTGATTCAATCAGTCACTTTTTATAACCGTGTTAATTAAGTTCATGCATATTGCAAAATCTGAGCTCCTCATAGGCTACAGCTAAAACATTAATCCCTCCTTTTGTTTTCAATACCTGTGGTTTGTTATTGAATCCAAGATTTATTTTCTCACCCTGTTATGAAAGTTCTCAAGGCCTCCATGTTATTGAAGACAGGTTTGAGAACTTAGCTGTTTACAGAAACAGGCTGTGAGAATTTGCTCCTCACAGCTGCCTTTTAAGCCATTTCTGAGCAAAATTCTCCAACACTCTCCCCAACAGAATTACAAACTTCTGACTCCATTTTAATTTTGATATTCCAAACTTCCATGAATGATCTATAACTTGAGAGGTGCCAAACCATGCCATGTGAATTCAGTGTTCCCTTTGTTTTTAAATTAAGAAAACCAGAAATTAATGATCATAGTCATCCTCTGTGCTTTCCCCAACTATACACATCTCATACCTTGCCTAGTTTTCTTTTTCAAGCTGAGTGGGTTTGTTCAGCCTGTATCTCACACACATTTCATGCTTTCTTTGATCATCCTTGCCCTGTGGCTTACCCATTTTCAAGACATCCTCTTCTGAAACAAAATAACCGATTCCAATATGGTATTTAATACTCAAAAATTCTCTCCCTCTAGTTGTGTGACCCCTCCAAAGTCACACTTGCCCTTATTATATTGTCATGAGCCTTCTTCAGCTTTATTTTATACTGCATTTAAGTTCTTCCTGGACTATACATATTGAGGCTACGTGGTGACAGGAGGTGCAAAAGAATATTTCTAAAGGACAGCAATGTTTGTATTTCATGGGCAAATAATCATCTAGCTAAATGTGAGTGGACTAACAAGTTCCCTGTGTGGATCATTTTCCAAGTCTACTATGAATAAAAAGTGTTCAAGTTTCCTGTATGTCATCTGGTCCTGACTGTCAGCAAACAGATATGACTAAAACAGAAACATGGTCTTGCTTATCCTGTTCCTTAGTATTTCAGAGATATGCAGACTGGCATTCACATGGATACACAAGAAAGTCAGAAATTTTCAAAACTACATATCCATTGGTGACCCTCAAAGAGCTAACATGAACTTCCAACTGCCTGTGCCACAGCCATACCCCTTGTCATTCCTCAAGTTCACTTTAGTTTCAAAGTGATGTCACAGACCCCTTCCCAAACTTGAACCATTCAGACTTTGCAAACCACATCCTCATCTCATTCCCTCTATTTTTTGTTACCTTTCAGCTTGGCCACCAAGTGCCTGAACTCCTCAATGGTGTAAGCTTCATCTACTCCTGTGAGAGCAATTGCCCCATCCGGGCCTGATCTGGGCCCATCCCACAGCTCTCGATTTGGATCCCTCCGGGGCACAAAAAGTATGGATTTGTGAGATGGCAGCGCTTTGCCAGGAATGCTCTGCAGCACCAGGATGCTGTCAGGCTCCTGAAACCCACAGAGGTACAGGAAATTAGTGTCCTGGTGGAAAATATAGGGGATGTCATTGCTCATGTAGTACGTAGGGTTGGACAGCAGAATCACTGTGTGGTCCAAACCGTCGCAGCCTTGGGCTTCCTTCTGGATCGACACCATCAGTTTGTGTCGGCGAAGAGCATATTCCACCTGTGACAATCCTGGGGTTACCTCTCCTGTGAACACAAAACAAATCAGATGCAGAAATTCAAGGCACTAAGGGTATTTTACTAGTCACATGCCTGATTCCTGCCTACTCCCTGATGCCTTACATGTGCATGGCTTCTTTGTAACCCCTCACAAGCCTTTTCCCTTGCTCCTCTTCAGCTTCCACTCCTACAGCACATCTTCATTCAGGCTGCTTCTCCATCATGCAAAGGCAGACAGACATTGGTTTTAACCAACTGGATGCTGTGTTACATATTTCTGTGCAAAGGTAGAAATCACAAAACCTGGTAGATTTAAACAAACATCCACATGTTTGCAGAGAATGTGTAAAAAAAAAAGAGGAGGGGGCAAGGTAAACTGAACTTTGACTGCTAAAAACTGATGGGTTTTACAGCACGGACATTGAACAGAAGTTTGCCTCCTGAGGTTGAGCATTAATTTCCTCAGATAAAGCTAGAATGTTTGTTCAAATACACACTAAGTCAACTCATAAAGTGACTATTTCTAAACCACAGGGGCCAGATTGGGTGTCGGAGATTCTGGGGGATCAGGCAGAAGCACAGAGGTTGCAGAGTCTAACCAGTCACAAGATTCCAGGCAGAAACAAACCACAGATGACTGCAGGCTGCCATCAGACTCCTATTAAGGGAAGGGATCTTCTTCAGGGCATATGTAGCTTTTGTCAATATTTAACAATTCAGATATTTCCAAAGTTAAATACTGTATTTCTAATAACACTAACTAAGCAAATGATCTCTCAGATGAAGGCACTGTTTCAACTGCTCCAGTCGCAAAAGACATGAAGTACAGCAATCAAGATACTCACCAAAACAGGACTGAAGTTCAAAGGACAACTAGCAACAGTTGAAGTATGTATTTTTAAAATTGTGAGACTCCCTATTTATGATCTAAATTAATATAAGAGCCTTAATCAGTATCTTTGGCTAGTACCCTATCTTAACGTAGGTTGAATTTTGATACTGTTTGTTAACTTTCCACTTTCATAATCTTTTCTTCCTCTTTCATGTATTACACAGTGGCAATTCTAGAACAAAAATTGATATTTGACTTGTACTGCAAGTAGATTCTTGCATGAGTGCAGTAGGAGGGGAAGTTCTATTTGCATTAATTTTTATACTTTTTCGATTATATGCTCAATACCTATTAGATGTAATAGTCTTTAAAAAGAACCAAACAAACCCAAACCCACCACACTTATTTTACTCTGTGAATGTAGAAACAACAGAGAACACAGAAACTGTTTTAATGCAATCTGGCCTCACAATTCCACAATGTTATACTGCAAATTTCCTATGCTCCACTGCATTCCAGTCAGCTTTTAAACTGCCACAGTCCAGTGAATTTCAGAAGCTGCAACGGGGTGAAACATGGGGATCCCAGCTGTCTTCCAGCTGTGAGGCCTGGAAATTCTCCTTGCATCAAAGGCATTTGCTTTTTAAAACAATAATTGCAATAAAACAATGTCATATTATTGTAAGGAAACCACCTCTACTTTATTAAATGGAAAAATACTTTGGATAGCTAGAATTCACTTCCAGTGCTTTGGCTGCACTTTAAGGAGTCAGCCTTGTTTATTGTGAGCTGTCAATGAGTGCCCTAAGCAACCTGATCTAATGCTGAAGTTAGCCCAGCCTTGAGCATAGTTAAAAAACCAAAAAACCTGTTAACTGTGTGAGGTTGCTTCCCACCTGAATTATTCTACAATTAAATACAAGGGTGTGTATATATATATATATATATTTATACACACACAATATTCATCTGTTCTCCTTTTATACCCACCTATGGAAGAACACAGAATGTTTTCCTAGACATATTCTTGAATATATTTTTTCTGCAATTTTTTGTTTGGTTTTTTTTTTTTTTTTTAGATTTAAGTGTGGTGATCTTATGGCTATATGTTCATTTTCATGCATCTCAAAAAATGCACAACCCCAGCTTCTATCTCTACGGTCTAACTTCATAGTCACAAGCTTCTTTTTGTCCTTCTCCTCATATTGAATACTCCTGTGAACAGGGCACATTCTTTAGACAAGTGCTGTCCATTTATCAGTGTCCCTCCCCATTCACCTTTGGTGAACTTCACTTTTGTTTTGTGACTCACAAGACATGGGATATGAACCATTCTGACACTGCAGCTTGCACAAAAAACTCCCTCTTAATAAAACCCATATTTATTTGCAGGTCAATGAGTCCACAAAATGCCACGGCCACAAAAGGTCTGCAGCACCCAAGGAAACAACCCTGAGTACATCATGAGAAAAAAGAAAGAAGCTATCAAAGTCATCACATGTGAAGCCTATTTTTGGAACCAGTATCATCTCAGACAAGGAAATTAGCTACTAAATATAATTACTGGCTAATGAAGGCAGTCATAAACACTGGAAGCCACAGACAACTCTATGACGCAGCAAATCAATATACTCAGAAAAAGAGAGACAAGAAAATATCAATGACTGGCTCATGCAGGGCACAAACCTCACCTGGTTTGAGCAGATGTGGGTGTGTGAAGGGGCTGGGCTGCCCCAAATACCGGTTTGGAATCTTCTTCTGCTGGGCAGGCTGGATGGAAAATCTTCGGAGAGCACATGACTTGCAAACTAGAGGAAAAGAAATGCACCATGTCAAGGTAAAAAAACAAACTAAAACTTTCCAGTTAGGAAACTGCAGAACTGTGGGCTAGTCATCAGACTCTTAGGAGCATTCCTTCACTTATACAACATAAATATACCTCCTTAACTTCTCCATTTGCTGTGCATCACAAGTTTATGAAACAATGTGCATACAACTCAACTGACAATCAAATACTCATGGAACAGATAGAAGTAAACAAATATATGATAAACCTGACAACCCAGCAACAAAACCCAGGAAGCTCTGTTGGTTTGCACATCCCAATTCATACAAATGGTGTTCCTGAGGCACTCAGCACTCTCCCTCCCTTACTTCCCTCAAACACCACAGGGCTCCAAGCACGACATCTCTATATTGTCTCTTCTCAACTATGTCTTCAAAAAATTTCTCTCATCTGGAACAATTATACAGTTTCCAAGGCTTTTCCAGTTCTATATTTTACTAATAGTGGTGCAAACAAGCCATCAAATAATACAGGTTTACACAGGAATGTGATTTTCTTCTCCTGTCTGGGGGATACCCGAGAGTCCCTGTTTGTGTATTGACCTTCCATGGCAGCAGCATTGGCCAAACTGGACAGTTATGAATCCCACTTCCAAACCACACACAGCCAAAGCAAGTGAGTTTTAAAGACAACTACAAGTATGCATTTGTGAGCTGGGAAGGGGAATGATAAGACAAAATCTAAAATTAAAAATTAATTGTCAGAAACTTTAGAATTCTTAATCACAGCCTTTTGCAGCTGAAGAAGCGCTTGTGCCTGAAAACAAATTATCCAGACTTATAGGCAGGAGAGGGTAGCCAGAAGGTAAATTCTATTTGATGTTTTGGAAAATGGTTGCTCTTTATGTCACTTACCATATGCCTACTAGAAAACTAATTTGTGCTGCCATTCTTAGAACAAATACTTTTAACCCTTCACCAGCATAAGCAAGGATAACACAAGAAAACATCTGCTGAGACTCCGAGGCTTACAGCAAAACACTCGGACCGTGGATGTGCTGTGGGAGCCAGTATCATTAGCCTCTAATTGAAGGTCATTTACCCGTGACAACCAATAGTCATAACACGAAGCGTTCCCTGTGTGATGCTTGACTGGAGACCCGGGCGGTGAAACGTAACCGCAGCTTTTTGTGCAGCCTAGTTTAAATTGGTGTTTCTCCACAAACACAGCAGACAAACAGGACAGCTCGCAGCCAGACGAACACAGCGGGCATTAAATAAAGCAACACCCTGAAGGCAGCGAGGAGCTTTCTACCGTTGCTTTATTATTCCAGTTACTGCCTATTCATCCCTAGGATTCAGCCCTGACCGGGGCTGCCACTACGCCGCCGGCCAGAGCCGCTTTCCCGCGACCCGAGAAGCGCAAGCGGGGCTGTAAGCGGCGACAGCCGGGTGTCGCTACCGGAGCCGCGGGCGGTGCGGGGTGTGGGGGAGGAGGGGTGTCTGACCTGCGGCGCCGCGCCAGCCCCGGGCCGCCAGGACAAGGCCCCGCTGCGGGAGGCGCGACATGGCCGGGCCGCACGGCGCATGGCGGGGCCTCCCTGCGCCGTGGCGCCGCGCGCTGACACCATCCCGGCGCGCGGCCCGCCGCCAATGAGCGGCGCCCGCCGGCTCGGGAGCGCCCGGGGCCGCCTGCCGCGACCGCGAGGGGGAGCCCGCGGCAACGGCAACAGGGGAGCGGCGCCGCACGGGGCGGAGCGCAACTGCCCGGCCACGGCGGCCGCTTCCAGAACGTTTGCCCCACACGCCGCGGGGCAATGATCGGCGTGGGCGGGGCCTCGGGGCAATGATCCCGTGGGCGGGGCGGGCTGGAAGGTTCCACGGCGCCGCCCAACGTTTGTGGGCGCATTCATGGAGTTTATGGGCGGGACGCCGTTTGGCATGGGCGGGGGCATTGGTGGTGGGCGGAACCAGATCGGTTGTGGGCGTGGCTTCTGGCGGGCGGGGCGGGCTGGAAGGTTCCGCGGCGGGTGGGCGGGCGAACGAGCGCGTCTGGGCCGCTGCCGTGCCGCCATGGACTCGCGTAAGCTGAGTGAGCTGCGGGCCTTCGTCCGGCTGTGCAAGCAGAATCCCGGCGTGCTGCACACCCCGGAGCTCGCTTTCCTCCGCGAATGGGTGGAGAGGTCGGTCCCGGGCCGCGGAAGGAGGCGGCCGTGAGGGGCGAGGGGGGAGGGGTGTTGTGGCGCGGGACGCGGTGAGGGGAGGGGGGCGTGTCTCCCGAGCGCGTGCCGGCGCGCGGGCGCGCCGCGTGGCCGGGCCGGGGGCGCGCAGCGTTCCCCTCACGAGTCCGCTCCGGTCCCGTCCGCCCTGCGGCCTTCCCGCCCTCTCCTCCCCTTCCCGCTGGGATTACTCCTGCCGCCTTAAAAAGACTTGTTCATTTTTCGTTTTGTTTCGTTAACTCTGGCTATTCGCATTGCAAAAAGCCTGCCCCCCGGCCATCTCAGTGGCTGAGCTTTCCAGGCTGGAAAGCCCCAGAGTGATACTTACTGAGCTAATTCTCGCATTACGCAGCAGAGTTGGCTAGCCTGTCTTAAAAAGGAGCCGAGTTTGTGGGGAGCTGAGTGACGTTGGTTTACATCCTGGTACCCAAAAGCACAAAATACCTGGCAGCTACAGTTGCTGTCCGAAACGTGGTTTGCTCTTCGAAGTTTAATGTCTCAAAGGCAGTCGAATTCTCCGCTCGCTGTGAACCATTCAGGTGCCGCCTGTTAGCGCTGCGCATATTCTGTGTGAGCGGGGCCTGCCGGAACAGATGCTTCCCAAATAAAAATTCCCTTTGGGTTCCACCCTGAGCGCCCTGAAGCACGAGGCTGGAAGGGTTGGGATTCTCTGCTGCTGGCAGAGAGCCCACAGAACCCCTGTGTGCAGCTACTGTGCCTCTGCTTGGCTTGTATGGCTGCTGTGCTAAACAACTCTGGGGAAGTGAGGGATGTACTTTCAGGGGCACTTGTTAAGCAAAGAATTTTAAACATTTTTATCTAGTGACAAGCTGGGATTTGTTTTAGAAAATTCGTGTTAATCCTAAACAGCAGGATTTTCTGTGTATAGATGTATATATATGTACATACATAGAGATAAATAAACACTGGCATTTCACAATACATCCTATTATGAAAATGGCTACAATAAAGTGTTTATTTGTGGGGTTTTTCGGTGATATTTAAATTTTTTCTGCATCTGAATAATACTGTGGTTTTAAAACCTCTGGTATTTGACTGAACTTGGCTTTGCAGCACTGACAGTAGGTACACCTCTGCCTAGGAAGGAGATGGATGTCTGTCTCGTCCTACTGTAGGTCTTTTATTCCTTTTGCTATTGCATAAAATACTTCAGTGCCTTACCCTAGGCTTCTTCCAGTGCTTCTGTTGGGTAAATCTGAAGGTGTGGACAGGCTGCTTGAAGAGGGAAAGAGGAAGAACACTGACTTCTTTTTTACCTAAGAAAGTGTTAGGGAATGGAAAGATGACCATCTGACTTTCTCCATGTTAATGGGAAGGGCTTTAATTTCCAGATTAATTGTTAGAATTTGTATTTGGTGCTTGTCTTATAAATACAGTAGTTACATTTAGAGCTGTGGAATGTTTTTTACATCTAAAATCTTCATAGAATGTCTTTATCTCAAAAGTTTAAAAATACTTCAGAGCAGAACCTCCAACATCTCTCTCAAGCTTTCTTGTTTTCTTAATATATTTAAGTTAGATACTTGCCTAAGTAATACACTTGGATGGTGGTAGTGGTACCCAAATTACTTACCATACAAAACTGTCTGGAATTCTGGTGGGGTTCCCTCTGCCTTTACATATTAGTTTTGTGTGCAGTAGAACTGTTAAGTGCATTATAAGGACTGATCATTCTTTGGAAACTGCTTCATGCAGCATGGCCTGCCTTCAGGTGGGAATAAACTGATAATTTTTATATCTTACTCTAATAACTGATAATTCTTATATTGTCTGGCTTACCTGCCTTAACCTGAAAGACATAAGTTTGTTTACTTAGGTAGTGTTAAGAGTGATTAGAATAATGACTAAAATTTTTTGACTAAAGTTCTGCTAATTGCTTTGATTCATTTTTTCCTTAAACCTAGTGGTTCTAATTTAAATTTTGCTAACTACTCATGAAGCCAGAATGGGATGCTTTATTTCTTATTAGCTGTTAATTTTGCATCAGTAACCTTTAGTCTTACCTGTTTTCATTCACTTGTTGTTTTCTAACCCTTATTCTGCCTAGCTGTTGTATTTAACTTCTGTATTGATCCTCTTTGTAGAGAAAGCATAGGGTAGTGTGTGTGTTTGGAAGGTGTTTTGACATTCCTTTTATCAAGCTCATTTTTCATAATTGCATGAAAATACAAATGTTTAACTTGAATTATTATGAAATGAGTCATTAAAGGAAACACATTTCAAAACCCTGCAACTGAACAAAGAAACAATGGCAATCTTTAAAAATAAGCCACAGAATCCCTAATTGATGAATAAGGCTTTTTGCCTTTTTTTGTTGTTTTGTTCAAATAGGTTTTTACCCTTTTGAATTCACGGCAATCCAGTTTCTCTCTGAAGATAATTTTGCTGTCAATAATAAAAGTGGTTGCAGAAATCACATTTGCAGTTCTTCCAACAAGTCATAAATGTGACACTTTGCATGGCCCTGATGAGTGGAAATGTGCAGTCACTGTTGCAGTGGAGTCCTGACAACTCCCAGTTGTTCCTGGCATCACACACTGAACTCTTTGTGTGCCTTGTGTGTGTCTGTGCTTTTTCTACAGCTCAGTACCTGCCTTTCCCTGCAGGAGTGTCTTGTGTTTCCATGCCCTGCTGAGGTTCAATACATTGCAAACTTTGCATATATCCTGCTGTGCATTCAATCATTGTTATCAAATGCTGGGTTAAGAGATTTTAGAGTAACTTGCTTTTGAGTTATTCTGGGATTATAACTGTAGTTTAAATAGAGATCACCTGGATAGCAAGAATAATTTCATGTGCTCTGAGTGAAACTGTTTAGCCTTGGCAGTTCATGAAATAGCATATTATAAAACATGCATGTATATTAGTAAACATTTCTCAAACTGAGCTGAACTTGGGTATTTTTGGAGGGATATGAAGAGAGCAGAGGAGACTGACTCAGTTGTTTCAGTCTTGAGGTGATTTAAAGCTTCAGCCTTACAACCAGCTAATACCATGGATGTTAGCTATTAACTCTTTGTAAAATGCTTTGTAATTTGTAGTTTTCTTTATGCAGAAGAAAAGTTCCAAGGCTTCACTGGATGGTCCCTGTAGTCCTCTCCTTGGTTTCTAGAGACTAATAGAGTTATGTTTTCTATTGTCAGCCTACATGGGCAAAAATTTAGGAGGAACTTAGGAATTTAGTTAGTCCATGTTCTCTGTGTTCTGCCTGGCTGGATAATGATTTCTCAGACTGCAGTTATTTAGTCCTTGCAGTATAACTTTGATTAGGTAATGTCAACATCCCAGGGACACAGATTGTTGCAATAGCTCCAGAACTTGCTGGTGTTAGTCACTTGTTGGGGTTTTGTTGGTTGGATGGTTGGGTTTGGGGTTTTTTGACAGTTTTTCCTTGTAATGAGAAGCAGTTCTATGCTGTTTGCCCTCCTTTCGCTGCAGGGCCTTGTGCCAGGACCTGTCAATCCTGTCAACTCCTTCTCCAACTCCTTTTACCCTTTCTCCCCCAGTTCAGTCCTATCCCTGTCCTATTCTGCCTCCTTCAGGTTTGTCTTCAGCCATTTTGAGGCCTGACTCTGAGGTGCTGCTGAGAGGAGGGAGGAAAGAGGGGAGAATGAACTGCAGTAGCTTGACTTAAGAAGTTCTAACTTCATTCTTGTGATACACTTGTGTGTTGCACTAATTCCTGAAAGCACATAGTCCTACATCCTTCCAGTTCCTCCTGCCCAGCCCTGTTTAGTCACCTCCTCCTCTCCCTTCTCTCCCATCTAACCACCTCTGTGGGGCTCCAAGCAGTTGGTTGTGGAGTTCATGGGAACATTTTTATTGAAAACCATCTGTAGGTGGAAATGTGGGCCAGGGGATGGCTTGGAATGCTATTCCTTGTGGTGTGCTGTCATAGGTATGATTAGATGTTCCATCTAAGAGCTGGAGAATCCAGCATCTGCTTATTCCTGGCTGCTGATCAAAGTCAATAGCATGTGGAAGTTTATTCTGTATTGACAGAATGCTGTCTCCACCAAGATTGCTCCTTGACTGTGGTGAAGGAGAGGCAGGAATATTGCAATGTGTAAAAGAAATTATTTTTTTTCTAGGCAGCAGGGTTTTTTAAATTGCACAGACATTTTAGGTTGTTCTCTTTAATTGTTTGACCTCTGTTAAAAAAATCTAATTTTAATAATATCTATAATTATAATATCTAGTTTTGAATCAAACATAAGTTACATTTAAAGGAGAAAATCTATTTGAGCCAAAAGGCAGCTTTTCCTTGTGAGAAAGGGTGGGTGAAGGGTGATGCAAGTGAGTGCAAGTCTCAAAGGAGTTGTACAACAGTGTGCATTGCACTACACTGAG